GAGAAATAGCAGATCTCGTCTCAAAATGTCCCAGAACTTTCGAGCCAAACTAATATTTAGCCTATATCAACTGTTCATCAATACCCTTTACACAAGCTCGAAACAGTGCATTTTTGTGCATTTTGGACCGGATCAGTCACTTTTATGTCCCGTGAATTACCTAAACGCAGCTCAACAACTCTATCAGCTTACGACCTATCTTCGACTTAAGGGCAGCACATTGAGGTGACCCGTGGCACTTGACTGGACATCTTCTCACTCGACTCCTGACTCCAAGTTTCAACTTAAAGCATAGAACTAATCGTCGCAAGTTCTTTCCTTCGTGAAACAGCTCAGTTCGACTGAGTCAAATGGTGCTTCACTACGACATATTGACCTGTTCTACTTGTCTCTTCTGTATTGACATACGTGATAGCAAGGAGTATCAGCAGCACTGGATGGGATCCTTGGGGCTAAATATAGCAAATAGCACTAAAGATGACGTTTGGAATAATACAGAACTCTGAGGAATGTGAAAGCATTAAACGTAAGGTTGTGATTAGAAAACACTGAAAACGCGCACTAAATCGGTTTGGAAAAGTAGCTATTTTCTAGCAACTGCTGATACTAGGCGGGAATGTTCCATATACCACTTACAGTATATTATGGCGTACGACTCACAAGGGAAGGATTCTTGATTGAAGTGATATTTCTATATGAAATGAAGACCGTTTTATAAAGTATGAAACGCTGATTCCTAAACTGCTTTCGTTACCTGCATTGCGCTTCTAGGAGGGTAGTTGTGGAGATTTTCTAAAATCAACCGTCTGGCCGAAGTAAGAACAGTGTTGTGATCTTTCCGGTATTTGAAATTAGTGATGAGTGCTTGAATTTATTATAATGAAAGGCCATTGCTTGAAGCGTTATGGCACTAGTCCCATAACTTACCCCCCAGAAGCGCTTTGCAGATATTGAAGGCGGATTAGAACTCGGAGTTCCATGCTCTAATGGATGGTATAATTTTTATGAAAACACCACTTCGACCAAGTATCCTTCTCTTGTTAGATTTTCCGTTGCTTTAGTCGCAACCGACATTGTTAAACCGCTTATTCGACTAATGCTTTGGCTAGCCTTTTTCCTCAGAGACTACATACCTTAGATTGCTAGATTTATTTTTTCACCACCTGCAGGAAAAGTCTAAAGACTACAAAAGGCTTTTGTCCTGGCCTAGAACACAGCTCACTTTAGTAGTGAAGGCAAATTTGTAGGATTTCATTTCAACATTTCAGACGTATAACTCACCATTTCTAAGTAAACAGTCATCTCACCTGTCAGGTCATGTTGCATTCTTATGGCATGGAGGAGTGGCCGCTCCTAGGTTCAAATTACGAACCTGAAGTGTTCTCCTAGTTCCAATCACCTGAGCTGACCGAGCTTTACTGTGTTCCACATTGCCGATAGGTGTAGCACAAATTACACTGATCAAACTCATTCTCAGCTCTAGGCCGACAAAAATCTGATGTGCTTCTTAAGTATTCTTGCATATGTTAATATGTTAGCGTAAACCAAATCAGATGTTCTGTTCTTTACGAGGATTTGGAGAAGGCGATAGTCGAAACGTCAGATTCACAGTCCTAAGGGAAGAGATGTTAACACGTTGACGACATCTCCGCGCAATGATGCGCGGCAGGCAACGCCGCGCAGTGGTGCGCGGCGGCCTTAACTTCAATCTTATCTGCTCATTCCTCTCAGTTTGTGTTCATATAATCAACATAGACTCAGATGCATTTTATATGATGGCCCCGCCCCTCTTAACAGACCACTCCTATGCCCTTCACAAGGTTCGTTTTTTTTTGCACAAAAAGCACAGGAGAGGCCATAGATGAACGCAAAGACCTCAAACACCCTTGATCATGGCCCCGCCCCTTCAGGCAAGCTTTGCTCATTTTTCAAAAAATGGCTGAATTCGCATAAATTCGTGAAATTTGGGCAATTTCCGACGATTTGTTCAAGTGGGCGGAGCTTGCCACAGCGGGACGGAGCTTGCTTATTTTGTATTTCATGCATATATACACGCCAGGAATAGAGATACACGAAAACGTCTCGTCCACAGGAACAGACCCTTAAAAATTGCTCGTCATCAGCGTGTTAACATTCAGACAGATAAGAGTCTATGTTTATTGGAACCTAAACATGTGATAAAATCTCGATACACAATTACGGTTTTCGTATTACTGTAAGAAATATGAGCGTTTATGGGCCAAAAGGCTTCTTATGAATCCGCATGTCAGTAGAGAAACTAATAATTGTGTAACCATATGAATATAAGAACACAAACAGCATAATTGTCTGGTTCAAGCGTATGATAGGAGCGTTCTTTGTTTTTCTATATTCATTTCAGGTATGATCAGTTGGCAAAAGTTTCTGAACTTCTTTTATGTATAGACTTTCAAGGTAGTCAACTCACAGCAAGTACCATTGTTTCCCCCAGTAGCAACGGCAAGGAAAAAAGTCATCAATGTTGGAGCGCTATTTGTCGATGATAATTCAATGTAAGTTCACTTTAACCTGTTAAGAACAACAATATTTATTTTTAAGTTATTCACCTTATGTCGGCTATACTGGCAGTATTGGAGCATTGTATCTAGCGATTGACAGCATTCGAAACCCTCGACTTCTCGATGGCTATACATTCAAGTGAGGTTTTTTTTCATTTAGAATTGTCTTCAAGCGAATCTGGCTATGTAAATTTCTCAAATGGAAACTGACTGGGAGGCACTAATAAGGCCATGGCTCAAGATGCAGCTCATATGATTCTTTCTTGGCAGAAACATTCATCTCTGAATGCTCGCCCACTACTGTATTAGATTGGCCCCCCGCGAGGAATACGGGACTGGGCAAGCTTTGAGCGTTGTACCTTTCGGCCACAAATGGCACATATGAACTGCTCTGGCTATGTCCTCTCTGTCCACACAAAAAGCTCAAATACCCAAATTTGTTCGAACTCTCCAAATTGCAATATTTTCCAGTGTCACTGTCCGCTTTGATAACTGTATAGAAAGGCAAGCAGCTGGCTATGCTTTTGAGCTGATTCGCGACCCAAAGCAGACATAATCGTTTGTCCAACTTGTAATATTCGTGAGTTTTTTCGTGATTATTCTTCGAAAGTCTTCCGCCGACTTCCTTCAACAATTCGCACTTTAGCCTCGATTTCTGTTGGAGCCATTACAGCATATTACAATCTACCGCACTATACATGGGGATTGACAACCGTTAACGAACTTGCGGATACTATCAGATTTCCTACATGTGTCGTACTTACTCCCAATTATCTGACGTAGGTGACTGATCTTATATATAAAGCTGAATGTCTGTCTGTCTGTATGTATGTATGTCTGTACGTATGTGCGGAATAAAAATTTTTATTTTTGAACCGATTTGGACCAAACTTGGCACACATACACTTCGGGCCCCGGCGGGTGTCATAGGCTACTTTTCGTATCGATCGATATCGATTTTATCGTTTTTTTTGCAAAATTTGAGCTACAGGGCTGGGAGTTGGCACAGGGGGGTAATCGAGCATGCTGATTACAAATATATTATTGACAGGCCCGGCGGAGCCGGGTTTGCCAACGTGTTTTTTAAAAAAATTGTAACAACTCGTTTTTATCCCCAGGTTGAGTTTAGCATTGCTAGCCGTCATGGATCACCTCAGTTGGGACGCTTTTGCTTTTATTTACTCAGCCAGCGAAGATGCACAAGAGTGCCCAATTTTTTTGGCAGATGTCCAGGTGAGTCAAACACAAAACGGTTTTATTTCGTTTCTATACAACTCAAAAATTGAAAACCACAAATTTGCAGGAACCTTGCACATGAAGATCAGACCTGGTGATCAAAATTGTTATCAATCCATTCATAGCGCGGCTTCGGTTGAAGGTTACGGTGGAGGTCAAAATTGCAGTACTTGCTGCAGCTTAGCATAAAGGGGTTGCCTAACATACTATTCTGCCTATTCTTGAAAGTTTTGAATTTTTGATTTGTCTGTTGTGGAGAAACTCCAACAAAAATATTTTCAGAAAACATATAAATAAAATATTAAGAAAGCGGTTTTCCAAAATGTCAACTTCAGTATTTCTAATGTCATCGAGATGCGGAACAATTCCGTATCCGAAATGACCGATGCTCTACAACAAATAAGCACTCAGGCAAGAAGTAAGAGCTTCATGCTGTCAAGGCACTTTTGTACTATATGCGGGATTTTTGTCACAATCTACTACCTTTTACAGTAGTCGTCGTGTGCCTAAACAGTCCAGATAACAAAAGAATGTTTATGCTAACAGCAAAGGATCAAAATATGCTAAATGACGAATACATCTACATTTTTGCGGATATGTTGGATTCCGGATACAGTAAGAACTTTAGAAAAATTACGATTTTTTAAAAAATACCTAAAAATCCCAGAAAATGCAAATACCGGAAACCGTACCATTTATGTTTGGCAAGATATGGCACTTCCACCTGATGTCCGCGACCAAGAAGCACAGGAAGCATTCACAAGAACGTTTATGCTTAGTGATGTAAGAAATTTGGAAATAGTTGGGCAAACTCGGATGGATTTTCTGTGGAAAGTGATTAGGGGGGAAAGAAGTTTATTCCTGCCCAAGTGGCAGCTAATGCTCTTCATTCGCGGCTTCAAACTCTAACCCATACCTCAATCTCCCCAGGCGGGGTACGATAGCAGTACGGTCTGGGTTGAAGTTTGAAGTGATTTTTTTTGGTCACGAATGAATCATTTGAGGAGCTGCTTGGACAGTGGCTCAGCTAACGCCCTCCAATCCTTTCATAATATAGGAAACCCAGGTACCCAGATTTTCCTCAACAATGCGTTTGGGTGTGATCATATCAAAAGACTTATACACCGTATATCTAGGTGTTCAATGACGGAGATTCGAAATCCGGACTAGCCAATTTTACGCAACAAGTGGCGAAAAAACAGCCGAACTAGGTATTCCTTGCGCAAGATGCGTGAACGGCCAGGAATGGGAGGTAAACAACAACATTAAACAATGTCATAAAAAATAAGTGCTTCTTGCCAGATGGCCCAATATGCTACGCAACTTTATGTTGCCATGATGGTCTATGCAGGAGTTTTAAACAGAACCATTCCTTTAAATCAGAATATTATAGATGGAGCATATTTATTCAACAGGACAAAGGGTATTTATCCAGGTAGGTTGCGCAGTTCATTTTCTGTAGCTGGATTCCATTCCAATTATTACGAGGAGCTCTCGGTGATGTGATTGAAGCTTGGGATGGGTCTAGAATATCATAGTTCATTGTGACCGGGGTAGGAAGATCAGCTGAACCAAAAAGATTGATATCAGTTCAACTGGACGCTGATGTCAATGTGGTAAGTTTACAATCTATGGAGCATTTAAATAGTAAATGATGCTTTATCGTACCTTAGACCCTGATACCGCTTTATGATCCACAAAATGAGATCCAATTTCTCTTCAATGGGCGTCCCATACCGATGACTCTCCCAGCTTGTGGATTCACAGGTTAGAGTTCAAATTACAGCATTTCGAGGTTCATCATGTGGAAACTAATTGGTAGGTCCTAGCTAAGCCCTTGCCTAAGCAGCAACTCATAAGATATATATTCAAGGCCGAGATATTGGTACTTGAACTGCAGCAAGCCGTACAGTTTTGGAAAGATTACGGTCTGGGCTGGACCTTGAGGCTGGATTTTTTGCCCGCGAATGGGTCCTAGGAGCTGTCGCTTGAGTATTGGGCCTAGCTGAGGTCTCCCATTTGATTTCCAAACAAAAAATTTAAATTTTAGATCTCTTTGGGCACCTTTATTTCTTCTAAAAAACATTTCAGGATCAGACTGTCCGGTATCGTTCTTCAACGCTTATCGAGGATATGTAATAGCCGCCATATGCATAGCGGCACTTCTCATACTTTCTGTTGGTGTCGTGGTTATTTTCGCATTGAAGTGAGAGTGTCATTTGTATACGATTAGGGTCATAAACTCCCTGCGGGACTTCTTCGTTGGCTTCCACGATATGCTAACAGTGGAGAAGGGATTGTCTTGATAACAACGTGTCTATGTGCCCGTACCGTATCCCTCCATGCAGACACCGGGGGGGGGGAGCGGGTAAAGGCTAAAAACTATATGTCAAATAATTGTTCATTATTCGAAATTAAAATATTAGGTCGTCCCAAAAGTATTTTCGTTTTTTTGAGCAAGCGCCACAGTCCACAGAATAAAGTTTTACAGAAGTTTTTGGTAGCATTCGATGCAGTTCCTCATGCTTTTTTAAAAAGTCAACTTTATTTAGCAGTTAAGACAATGAGCTCTCAGAAAATTGCTATAAAGTGCGACCCACGCTTTTTACCAAGGTCAAGTTCAGCTATTTTTCTAAATTCTTGTACTGATTTCCTAAAAAAGTCCAAGTGACCGTCGATAGAGCAAACAAAGCAGGAAGCAAAACAATTTTTGCACCTTTCATAGCTTACTTTGAAAATTAAAATTATTTTTTCGATGCTATCAAATTCCATATTTGGTCAACGTAAATCTCATAGAACAACGGCCGGCGAGCAACCGGGTGTTATTCGACGCAACGCAATCTCCTCTTTCAGAGACATGTTTTTTGTTCCTGATTCGAGAAGCTTTGAAGGATAAGATCGACAAAATTCATGTATCTTAAGGAACCCCAGGCTGTATCCGACAAGTCAAAAATTAGATAATTTGAACTCCAGAACGCTCACTTCTTTCGTAAAATTAGTGCTGAATTCTAATTCACTTTAAAAGTATCGAAAATTGAGAATTTAGTGGAGTTTGGCGAGTCTGCGTCTGGTACGGGACTCCAAAAATTTGATGGTGTTGTTCAAAATTCTGTCAAAAAATTATGGAGCGCCCTGAGAGGGAAATCGAAACTGTTTTTATCCTACTTGCTTTGCTCTATTCGCAAGTTATTTGGACTTTTCCGGGGGGTTAGTAAAGAATTTAGAAAAATAGTAGAACCTAACCTTCGTAAAAAGCGCGGTTTATCGCAATTCTCTGATAGCTCATTGTCTTAACTGCTAAATAAAGTTGACTCTTTAAAAGAGCATGAAGAACTGCATCGAATGCTACCAAAAGCTTCTGTAAAACTTTATTATGCGGACTGTGGCGCTTGCTCAAAAAAAGCGAAAATACTTTTGGGACTACCTAATACTTTCTGAAATTTTTTCTCAATATTATGTAGATGCATAATTCCTGCACCAAATAAGGTACCTACCGCAATAATTCGGAATTCTCCTATGTCCTTGATGGATCCGCTGTATCATTAGAGATATATCGTTAAACAGAGCAAACCTAGATCCACAAGATGGCGCTCTAATATCTACCAGCTTCAATACACGCGGTGTTTCAAGGCGGAAATTTGAAAAAACCATCCTCCCGAAAACCTCAAGCCAAATCGAAACAAAACTGCTACTCCGTTCAAAAATGGGGAAAACATGAAAAACTTCGTTTTCTCAATTTCTAGCTAAGAGAAAATGCAGAAAGGGCCGAAGGAAATGTATTATATGAAACGCCAACATGGGCAAGTGAAAATTTTCGAAGAACTTTTTTGAACGGACTTGTACCAATTTTTCGACCAGTTTTGAACGGACCAAGTTTTTCTTGGTTGTTTGGGACGCTAAGATCTTTTCCGCTTTTGGCTTGAATCTTCGCTTGGACCAAGGGTGTTGCAAAACTTTTAGCACTATCTTGTACTTACCGCAACCGTCCCTCTCCAGTTCATATCTTGCAGAGCTAACTTTGCTCTACCGAAAGGTATATTAGGGATTATTTAGGATATAGAAGAAATAATGCGATCTGTACCTATCTTGGTATAGGAACTATGCATCAACCTAATACGTAAAATGCCACGCTCCTTCTTCTTCAATTCGGAGTTACAGGTCACAAATATTTCGGAAAAAATCCAAAAAATGTTTCAAAGGGCGACCCCCCCCCCCCCTCTGAACAACATATTAGAACGACACTGATAAATCGCTTATTTGCAGAGAAAGAGAAAACGAAAAAAGGAGACAAGATGCTCTGTGGAAGATTCCGTCGCATAAACTTAGAAAACCCGTGTTTAAGGTAAGCTTTTTCTCCCATCTTAGGCATGACATTTGATCAACTGGCTTGGCGGGTGGAAGGCGGGGCTTTGTGACCTGATTAAGGTCGCTCGCGCCCGCGACGTAGTCTGCGTCTTTCCCGCGCGCGTGCTCTCTGATCATTGCCTAGCCTCAATTGGGTACGAAGCCCCGCCTTCCAGCCGCCAAGCCAATTGAATCAAAGGGTACCTAATAAATTTTTCTTATTAACTCTACATTTAGAGCACATCACAATCGTTTTCATCATCAATATCTGGAGCTCACTCGGATGTACTTTATACGAATGGAGAAACTGAGAAAATGTGCTATTTCTATTATGGAAACGATCCGCTTACTGCGTTTAAGCATTCCACTCTGCTTAGGTTTGATGAGCGAACAAATTCGGAGTTTCGAAAGGTTTGCGACTGTTAACAAATTATAAGGATGAAAAAAATAACTTTTTTGCAGATGCGTCAAATTGAACATGACAATTTGAATCGTTTTATTGGTGTATCCGTCGACACAGCTCTAGTGTATTCACTCTGGAAATTTTGTTCTAGAGGAACACTGCAGGTAATTTATTTATTGAAAAAATTCTTGGGAGAAACGTGAAATTCACTATCTAGAATTTTAGAATTTTTCAGGAAGTTATCACAAAGGGGTCTCTACCTGTGGATTTCGTCTTTATACGTTCGATGATGATGGATATAGCTGCGGTAATTAAATTCGTCCTCAACCCAGTGGACGTCTATGACAATTTGAAATTAATTCTGGAGCAGGCTGTTGGCGTTAGAGCTCTACTCCATTTGTGTCAGTTTAACTGAAGGCAGAGAGTCCGGCGCTCTACCGCAACCGTCCTGCTCCATTTCAAATTCGAAATCTCCAACGGGTGCCTATTGGAAGGGACAACCCATCGTATTTATGAGGCGTAGGCCACTTTGCACCACAAAGGTGTTTTCCATGCAGGACTTCGCCGACGCAATCTAGGACTGCAAGCTCTGTTGCGGCCGCGACGCGTCTCGACAAATTACTTTTTTACGCACTTTCAAATGTTTTAGAATAAAAAATCCTGTCAAAATCTCCTCTACTTTCATTTGCAGGGATTGCACTTTATTCACGTTTCTCCTATGGTTAAACACGGACGACTTACATCTCAGGTAGATTTCTTTGCTTTCTGATAAAAGGAAGAAAACCGGACATTTTTCAGAATTGCACTGTTGATGATCGTTTGGCAAGTGAAGTATCTTATTGTGGGATGTCATGCATAAAGAAATACGAACGTCAAGCACGAGAAGGTATACGGTAGCAATACGGTATCGAAGAAATCACTATGTGTGTGGCGGCTCGGTGGGCCCTAAGCACCTAGAATTACCCGAGACACCCGCACGCTCGCCCGCTTATTGCATACGGCGCAACCTAGCCTACTGCTTTACCTAGCGCGTAACAAAACACAACTTCAAATTACTAATAGTTTATCCTTATGACACAAATGAAAACAACTAGACACTAAATTAAAATACTAACTACTACTACAAAACTACTAACTAAAAGAAGAAAGACCCCAACACGGGACAGTGTGCCCTATCCCGTGCTACCGATGTCGCGCGACTATAAACACAAATAAGAAATATGCTACCGAGGCTTCACCTATGCAGATCCGCCACGCGTCGCCGGATACCAGGCGCGACAGCCTCTCCGCTCCCAAGGTTTACAAGATATCAAATTCCAAAGGTTCCAAAATGGCTCGTCTGAAACAATCCCTAATCTGACTTGAACTCCAATCCAATACAACTTCCGATCTGCTCGACCGCTAACGCAAACGAGACATCAAAGGCGGGAGCTAATGACTAGCACGAGTACAATAGAAAACATATGAAAGGATTATAGATCGAAGACGAAAGCGAACAGACGCTGCAATGAGGCGCCGCCGCTATATATAGTCTTTTGCCTGGCAACGCGCCAAGGGGAGGAGAGGTCCAGCGGCGATTGCGGCGAACGTAAGAAAGTCACAAAAGCGAGTATGGACCCGGTTAGGCCAAGTCTCGAAAGTAAAATCATCGAAATTACCCCTGCTTTGGTAAGTGTCTACAGCATCTTCTACCATAATCCAAGTTTTTGAAATTTTGTTTAGATCCATCGGCAAATGTTGGTCCGAGTGGCCGAGACATTGACCAGATATGAAAAGGTCAAACAGCTACTTACATCTCTGCAGACTGGAAAATGGGTAACAAAATCCTGCCTCCTAATTCTTCTGCAAATTTTCCTTCCAGAAAGTTGAACCTTATGGATTACGTTATGAATACGCTGGAGAACTATGCCAGCTCGCTAGAAGCTGAAGTGGAGGAACGCATGAAGGAACTGGTTGCTGAAAAGACAGAGCGATCTTCGCTTTACAGGATGTTGCCAAAGTATGCAAACTTGTACTTATTTTAGTCCTCCCCCCCCCCGAGAAAATTCAGCTAACCTGAATCTCTAAAACTTCCAAAAACATTTTACTTATTCAAATGTGAAAGCAAGTCGTTTGCATAGTTTATAATCATAAGCTAATTTCAAGAATTTTTGCACCTCCCCCTCCTAATCCGCCACTGCAATTTTCACGAAGTTTGTGCATTTCAGACAAGTAGCTGAGAAACTCAAGGGTGGCGTTCCCATAGAACCTGAAAACTTTGATAAAGTGTCGATCAAGAAACTAAGGGTTATTCGGAGCATTGCCTCATGAGTAGTTGCAGCAACCTGTTTCCAATTACTTCTGATTGCAAGCGGCTTTGTCATCAAAGCTAGCTTGGAATTCTGAGACAGAAAAGTATTCTCAGGTTTTCAAAGTCAAATAATCATTCACGTTTCACATATTCGCAAAATTGTCATATGATAGCCCAGCACAATCAATCAAGCATGTACGAGCGACTTGTGCATTTCACTTCCCTCTCACGTTTCCTAGCGCTTGAACGTCTTTTCTTTCACAATCAATCATAGTTTTGTAGAATCAACATAATAATAACACAAAATCGTGCTAAAATTCAGTATGTCATGCATGCTTCCGATGAGAACGAATGGAATATCAAAATGTGATATTTTTTGAAGAGCCTCGTGGTATATTTAGATTTTTAGGAATTTTTAAGATTTGATATACAGAGTGTCCCAAAAAGATGTGCACACTGTTTCGTCGTTAATAACTCTCTTGCTTTCATGTCTTTTGCCAAGTTTGAGGAGCCATTCTTTAGACCGAGGTTCAACTTAGATTTACGTTATGAAGCGACTTATCAGCAGCTCTTATTACTATAGGATTACGGTAGGAATTTCAAAGAGGATTTTGAGCTTTGAAAGCGGTATTTTGCCTCAGAAAGAAAGCCAAACAAGCTAGAAACTCTTGGACTAGGCTAATCGAAATTGCTAATTCTAAATATGAAAACTGCACTTCAGTACACTGCTTCTTTCATGAGTTATTCCAGATTTAGGGTAACAACTGATTTTCCAATATTTGTGATAAATGTGAATACGCCATCAAAAAAGCTCAAAAAACTGGTGGAAAGTTATGTAGTGAAATTAGCACGCCTGAAAACCCTGCTACACAAATTTTTAGATTTTTTCGAAATTATTTCATTAAAAGGCTTATTCCACAGTGACGCTGTATGCAGAAAGTTCATACCGTAATCATACCTTAACAAAGAGTGATTGGTGATTTGCTCTATTCTGTAAATCTAAGCTTATCCTCGCAATACAGAATGGTACCTCAAGCTCGGGAAAAGACTTGAAAGCAGGAGAGTTATCAACGATCAAACAGTGTGCACATCTTTTTGGGACACTCAGTATTGCTCTTATACAGGGCTCAGCACAGCTGGCACCAAGTCAGGCTGGATATCGTTTTTAGCGCGGAAAGCAAAGGGGATATCGTTTCTACAGGGGCCGAGGCGGAGAACTGCCGCAAAAATACCGCCAGCATGCCACCGGCATGCCATTGGCAAGCTGTCCATCAACAAACAAAGGCGTTGTTTTCAGCCAAAACGCAATAGTATGACACCAAATTTGGTGTGTGCATGCGCGTTGGTGGACCGGAACTACGGGCCAAAAATTTATGAAAACTTATGTGAATGAAAGCTGTGCCCAACTTTTTTCTGAATTAGCTGGCACCGTGCCAGCTGGGTGCCAGCTGAGCTGGCAGCGACACTTTGCTCACATAAGTTCTTATACTTTTTTACATAAAATGCATCTACACTGTAAAAGATTACATACCGAGAAGAAACAGTTTCATAATGTTTTCTTTTCAGCGTTTTATAGCAATTTGAAAACCACTCGGCCCGCTCCGCCGTCGAAAAATTGGCTTTTTCTGCTTCTCAAGATGTGATTCGACCACTTAAAAGGCTCAGAAAGCTGTGAAAAGTTCTTTCATGAAATAGAAATGCATGAAAACACTACTACACTTTTTTACATAATAAAATGATGACGGGTTTTCAAAACAGGTCAAAAGGGACTTTGTACGAAATTTTCAATATCAAAGGGGACTTCGTATTGAAATTTCCCTGGTGCCAGCTCGTGCCGAGCCCTGCTCTTATTCCTCGTAAAGACGTACTGTCAAGGCTTATTCAGCAACAGAGTAGAAATTGAGGGTAAAGAATGTCGCTTATGGCACATTCGTAGCTATTGCTCATGCACATCTCGTCACCGCGAGGGCACTATGTTGAGCGTCAGATCTCCTAGTAGACAGCGGTTTCGGCAATGTACAATGTTCCTGCACACAATAATTTTTGCGCGAAATAATAGTTTCCCAAACGTTATAAAGGTGTTGAAGTTGGTGCTTTATAATATTTGTCACTAGCAATGGAAAGCACGAAGCCATCAGCAATCTGTAAGTTAAGCATGAAAACTTAACTGCATTCTTTCGTCTCACATTCACCTCACTTATTCGCGTGTATGCACTCAGACTCAGAGACTTTTGTTGAATTTCTACCTTTTCGTGACAATTCTATTGCCAAGCGGGTCCTTACTCTCAGCAATCAAAAATCATAAGTGGTTTTCTGAACATCACAAAAGTCTAGACTTGTTTAAATCAAATTTTCGTAAGTGTCTTTATGATACTTACCAACTTCTCTTCCATTTGGGATGTGGAAGAGAATCAGAAAAGGATTTCGAACCACATTGTAATGAACACCTGAAACTGTACAATCTGCTCAAATTTTAGATAACCAAAGATTTTGTGAACAAGCGTAGCGAAGTAAGGTAATGAAGTATAAATATGAAAGCTGCATTGCGTCAAATTGTAGTCTTTCGTTAAACGTCTTTCTTCAGAAAAAAATACTGGCAGAGATGTGAAACTAAAGCAGACTCTCCTTGAATGATTGCATCAAAATAGCTTTGGAATTCGCACGGATATGGGTCAGCTGTATGAGCTCCCCCTCGCTAGGACGAATTTTGTAGAAAAATGAAACGTTCTTTACCTTTTTGAATAGCTGGTACTATCCGCACCCATTATTTCAAAAAAAAAAAGATTTTGGTATTTTTCTTGTAACATATTTGGCGCCAAATTCACAAGAAGTGCCAAGTTGCCACAGTCAAAAAAATTTGACATTTCATCTACATGTTCAACATTTTTTACTTAGGCTTTGTTTTGCACTACCTAGCGACGTAACAAACTGTATTTATGTCAATTACGACCCCATCATCAAAGGTTTTTTTTGAGATGAACGCTGAGTAATAACGTCACCCTGTTATCATTAAACAGAGTATGTTTCCAGAATGGAAAAGCGTGCTAGGATTTTACTATCCAAGCGGCGAAACAAGCAGCGAGATACCGAAAGCCATCATTTATAGTCTCTCCTAAGTAAATTAGCATGACGGAAAGTTTTAAGAGGAAGACAATGAATTATTGTTGAAAGAATTAAGATGTTTTGCGATAAGTTTTAGACAATTTGACTTTCATAGAAAACAGCTGAAAAGCTTTTAGGTGGTTACAAACGCTACCGAATAGTCTTTGGTTTTACAAACGAAATTATTATATACGTTGATCCCAGTGACGCTTTGGACTTTTGCTGAATTCAACAGAAGGGTAACCACCTTTTGTGGATACCGCAAACAAATCTAAATTGAGCCATGCGGTGCAACGACGATTACATATGTTAAGCAACTTTGCAGGACTGCATGAAGATGTTAAATGGATTTTTCTATTCGGTTTGAAACGGCGGTTGATCGCGTACAGTGGTATTCTTATCAATAGCACACTACGCTGTCATTTTGGAGTGAAGTCATCGTACTCATCTTATTTCCATAAGTACCTGCAAAGTGGTAAAAGCTGGCTATTTTTGCTACCTCTCTGCTATTCTTGAATCTTACAATTGACTTGCCAAATCTAATTTTGTTAAGCACATTTTATTCTAAACAACAGTAGATGAAAATGCAACCCTTGAAAATAACGAAGGAGTAAGCAGATTTCCATTACATTTGTCCCGATTTTCTTCGCACGTGCGCAAAGATGAGCATGGAATGCTCGTATGCGATTGCCCTCATGGGTGAACAATTGACTGGGGGGAACGAATATCTCAGTTCGCTGCTTACGAGAGCGCTGGCCCTAACACGGTATGCACTAGCATGAGCAAAAGACCAGGTGATCCGCGAAGAATGCGCCTGATCGAAGGATCTGTTTCTCTACCCAACGCAATGGAAGGTGTTCAACATTGGGCAATTTGTGAGAATTTGATCGAGAAGAAGAGAGAAAGAGAGTGCTGCTGTAAGAATAAGAAGGCACAGCAACGGGCTATCAAGTTAGCCAACAAAAAGTTAAAGTTATTTTTTCACTTCTTGTTTTTTATGTTATTTGAATTGCAAGGAAAATTAGAGAGATTTTATAAGGCCGCTATAATAGCTGATGGAACTTAACAAGAACTACCTTGGAGGGAAAGCTAATGATATCATTTTGACTTACTTATGTGACTTTTTTGGCCAAAGGCAGTAACTGGCGGTAAGGCAGTAAGGCACTGAACTTTCTTTGTTTACGAGATAATCCTATGCGCTAATCCCAAAAATCCTCATCAAAGGAGAGCGAGAACGGCGAAAACCAGCATTTTCCAGGTCCCAACATTTGAGTTTGAACGAGTGAAACCGTTTTCACCAAGGCTGGAGACGCAGAATCGTAGGGACCCTTATGGCTATAAGATTTCTTCAGGCCGACGATGGGAGAAAAATTGTACTCGTCCGAGCTCTGGTAAAAGTACCTTGAGCGCATGGTTTGGCTGCAGCCTTTCTAGGCAAGAAGAGCATGCTATGCGCTCCTATTTGCTAATTTTCTTATTTGTAAAGCAACCAATCGTATCAAAATTTTGAGATGCTCGTTTTGCTGAGGCATTGCCTTTCCACTAGAAACAGCTTTTTGCCAAAAACTGTGGGGATGCCTTAGCAAAAAACTTCAAGAAAGTGTATGACAAGTTCGTGTCTTTAGTCAGAAAGAGAAATGTAAGCGTTGTTGCAAAGAATTCATAAACTTGGAAATCGCATAAGTAGTTCATTTGCACTGGTTTATGAAGCCTAAATTTCCACATAGTCTACTTGCGACTCACGTTTTGTGGAACAACATTATTAAGAAACACCAACAACGATCCTATGCATTTTTTGATGAGAAATAAGAAGAAAATAACTGTGAAACACCATATTTTGGGCACAGTTACTCAACAATGCAACAAATAGACTTTATTTTGTTCAAATTGTTATGATAATGTGCCGCTGCCATGCATC